ATCGAATTCAACAATGTTTTTCTCTTAAACCAATCATCGAAAACATTCTGTAAAAAACACGGTATTTTATGTAATTTTGACTGATTGACAACAATTTAATGCGACAATTATTTAGAAATATTTTATAAGCCTGTTTTTGTTAACATTTTTTGTTTTAGTGCACTTGTTTTTGCTCCTTTCTACCAATTCTTGAGAATGAAATAAAATGTCTTTCCGAGCCTTGTTGGAACAAAATAGCATATACAACATGTTTTAAGACTTCTCAATATTATAGTTAAACAAAGGAATTTTTGGTTGATTTCACAAAAGTATTCAAAAAATGAAAACAAAATCCCCCCAAAATAGATAAAAATCAAGATAAATCTTTTATTTCATTAACAAGATACTTTTTTAAATTCAACAAAAATTTCCTTTGTACAATTACAATATTGAGAGACCTAAATGAGTTAAACATGTTGTGTTTATGTCGTTTTGTTCCAATGAGGTTCGGAAAGATGTTTCATTTCACTCTGGAAACATGATACCAAGAACAAAACAAGTGTTTGATGTGTTTTCTAAAACAATATAAATGAACGTATATATATATTTTTCAAATTATATTTTTACCACCCAAAAGATGACCATTAAATTGACGATGTGTTAAATTTTTAGATTTTTTATGACTGGTTTAAGAGAAACGTGTGTTCAAAAAAATCTCCATATCGATACCACTCCTTTACATTCTAGCATCGATACTGTATGGTTTCATATTAATCAAATGTTATCAAACCCCCATAGCTATGAATCGAATGTATAATTGATTCGATGTGATGATATATTATCTTACATCAAAGTATTGCGACGTGCTTTGGTATAATCATGCTAAAAGCAAGGTGACCCAATACTTATATTAGTATGTTTTCTCACTTGAATGTTTCTGATTATGACCCCTGCCTGTGACAACAAAGTAAGTTAAAATGTATTGTGGTTTTTCAGTTGAAACAAACACACTATTATTATTTTATTTAATATTTAACAAATAAAATTGTGTTAACATAGTATTGTTTCAAAACATCACTAATTATGAAAAAGTTCTTAATAAAGTGGATCCTTGTGTGGGCCCTATAATTATTCATTTTGCCAAAAACTAACACAATGGTAATTGAATGATTGAGAAAACATTGAATAAGTAGAATAGGAAAAATGAATTAAAATGGCATTTCAATGTTAGCAACGAATAATTCTTCACTACTATTGTTTTTAATAAAAATGACCACACTCAAATGGACTATCATACATATCAATATCAAATTTGCCTCCTGTTCCATATACTTGCTGCTATTATTTGAAAAAAGAAGATTTTTTCAAACTCATCGTTTTGACAGTTGCACCTTGGGGCAAGCCGTTTAGCCTTTTCGTGACACCTTTTTGACTGTGGACAAGTGAAAATGAATAGTCAATGAACCAATCTATAATCACCGCCATTTCTACCCCAACATCGGTTTAGACTAACTAAGCCACTTTGGAAGCGACGTCTGGCGCATACTAAATCACGACACTACTTCAATCCATAAAATGATAAGTGTGTATTTATTGTTATTCAAACCCAATGCACTGGTGCAAATATATGTTTAATTTTACTTTAACACATATTATCAATACATCATGTTGAAACATGATTTCCTGTCATATATATATTATATTATCCGGGGCAATATTTCATTACCTCAGACACTAGACATTTCATGATAATGGGACACACTTGCTTTGCAGTCTGTGTTGCTATAACCCTGTTAGGGAGTGGTAAGTACTAGTGGTGTCAATTAACCGCTTGAGCATTAACCGGTTAACCGGGGGTTTTTACCTGTTAAAGTCGGTTAACCGGCGGGAAATTTGAACTGATAATTTCAAATGAAATCTTCATGTTCGATCTTGAAAGTTGAAAAAATTGGAAAAATGATATATCGGCGTTTTTTTTACGTTCGTCAAAACGTTACTAAGTACCATACCAATACATAATCAGGGTTATACGTTATATAAATCTAGGTCATTAGACGGCCATTTTGATGAGATTCATTCCTTAATTCGAATCCGAAATTTGAATTCCCTTGAGTATATTCACTATTCACCTGTGTAAAGGCAGGTAATGCAATATTCAAGTAAAAAATGATTCAAGCTGTAACAGCCATTTTCTATGATCATCGACGAGTAGCGTAGTCTTTTTGCAGAACCCACCACGCCGTTTTAACCATCTTGAATCAAGCTTGCAACATGTTATATATGTAATTTATGACGGTATGTATTTTCTATATTTTAAATTTTCAGGATTAGGTTCTAAATATGGGCCCTGTTTTAACCATCTTGAATCAAGCTTGCAACATGTTATATATGTAATTTATGACGGTATGTATTTTCTATATTTTAAATTTTCAGGATTATGTTCTAAATATGGGCCCTGTTTTAACCATCTTGAATCAAGCTTGCAAAATGTAATATTTGTAATTGATGACAGTATTTTCTATATTTTAAATTTTCAGGATTGGGTTCTAAATATGGGCCCTGTAAGTTTGCATGCAAAAAGCTGGGTATAGAAAAATGTTCACGAGTGTGTAGGATCGAAACAGTATGTGCATTGATAGTATAATAGTTCAATGAGTTTTCTTTCCACATGGTGGTTAATTAATTACACTTCATTTTATTTCCACTAGACTTTGATAATATCTAACACTTGGGCTTAAATTATATATATTTACACATACACGTTATAATTAAGTAATGTACCTTTCACGTGTTTTATTTATAATTGCTTTAATGTATACAGGTTAGAGTGTTTTCTTGAAGAATGTTCTCAGATCACAGCGGCTCTTTAACACGATGTTAAAAATAGTGCTGGTATTCACCGAACAACATTGGATAACTGGTCCGTCATGCATTCTCTCCGTTCAGTTGGATTACAATGCGGGCAACGCCCACTTTTCAATGGAAAACCCAAAACCCTTGTTTCCTGTTTTAAGCATTTTGGAATACATCAAAACACTCTCAATTGATGCAAACTATTTAGTTTACTGTTCTAGGACTTTTTATTTATCGCAGAGTCATATACCCTGACCCCAGGGAAGTTAAACAATCGAAAGATTAAAAAGCACATCGGCCAGTTGAATTTACGACATTTTTTTCTTTCAACAATTTGAATATTTTAGAATCTTTAATCATAAAATCAAAAAATATTTTTCTATAACTAAAGTGGCTGAAATCATTTTCCATTTTTTTTATCTGCCACAGGTTAGTAGACTGGCAATGGAGAGGTTAAGCTTTGCATATATAATCGAAACTGAACCTGTACGTATCACTCGACCATATACAAATTCATGTAGCCTTCTCATATAAATAGCCGTTCAAATCCAGTGTTTGTTTAGACTGACGTGTCGCAAAAAGCTCGCACCTCACACTTTTAACATGATAGAATGTGACGTTTTTGAGAAAAATGTACACACATGAAAATCCTTTCGTCCTCCACATTTATCTCTATATCTCAAAACATTTTAGACGAATAACTCTGATATCATATATATATATTGTTAATGGGCTAGGAGCATCATAAAACACGAATCAATTGATATTTTAGGTGAAATAAATATACGTGTGGCTGTGCTTGAAAATAGGCGAATGGCGTAAATTAGCCCTATTTTAATGAATTTTGAAAACCTTTCGTCCTCCACTTTTCCACATACAACAGAAAACACATACTTTTGTGAACAAAATCAACTATTTATTAATAAACTAGAGTTTAGGAGCAAAATAATCATGTATGATTTATTAAAAATTGATCTCGTATTTTTTGTTTAATGTACACCTGAAAAGTTGAAGGTACCAAAAAATGAGCAAAAAAGGTCGCTGTCAACAGATTCTATTTTTCAGACTCTATGACGTCACAATATGGGACGCTTACTAAAATTCATCCTTTAAAATAAAACTTCCATCTACCTTTATCAAGACGAAAAATAAGTATAATAGTCATAGATTGTTTGAGTTATGAGCGTTTAAAGACGAAAAATAATTCAAAATGTAACGTGTCAACATAGGATATTTGCCAGATGTTTTGGTAAAAAACTCTTTTTTAAAAACGAACGCGCAAAAAAATGTGAACGGAGTGTAGTTGATCTAAAATCTTCATCGAAACAGCTTTAAAATGATATATAACTTTAATTAGAATATTATCTTATAATCCGGGGAATCAAAGTTACATTCACGCGATACCCTTAAAAAACAAATGCGCCACCTTTTTGCGACACGTCACTACACCATAGCGTGTAATGATTCTATAGTATGTCATTGATGCGGTTTTATAGCTGGTTTTCTATATACATATTTTAAACGAGCTCGTTTCGTAAGATTTTTGGCGCTAAATCATGCATGACATACATCATCGTGTTCAGCAAGAATTCAACTGTGCATCGAAATCAAAATTGACAGCATAGTGTTCAATAGACACGAGTAAAATGGTTCCCGTTGACCCAACGTCAAATATTCAAATCTCCCGTTCTAAACCCGAAACTCTGAAGCTGAAAGAGTATCTGAAGTAGACTAAGCGCGCATAAAACTATGAGCGCTCGATACATTCCTTTGTTAATTTTTGTACTTTGCGTTCACGGTTACGTTGTGAAAAACATCGTTAGCTTAACCTCTCCAATATCTCGACGTTACGTAAAATGTGCTAGAACAATCTAGTTTTCATCATTTGAGAGTCTTTGTGCATTCCCAAACCGGAAAATTGGTTCCAATCCTTCCCGGCAAATGAGCAGCAAAGAAGTGCGAAACAATGTTTTCCATTGAAAATTAGACATTGCTCGAAATGTAATCAAATCGGACGGAAAGAATGGCTAACGTGACCAGTCTTAACCATCCGATTTTATTGAAAAAATCGGTGAACTATCAGCACCATTTGTTATCCCGTGTTAAAGCCGTTGTGATTTGAGAACATTCTTAAAAAATGAAACACCCTTATACAGAGTGATGCAATTATGAAGTCTTGTTGGAAAAATTGCTCTGCCTCAGCAGTGGGCTCTGAAGATGGATCAATTCTGAGTGGATGCATTCAACTTTGTAAAGTTAAAAACTGTGAAACACACACCAAACCAGGTACAGTACAATTATAGTAGTTTACATTTTATAAATTATTTGTGTTTGATAATATATCTAGGGTAAACAAAATAATTCGTTCATGCTACAAACAAATACGACTTATTAACACCCAAAGTATACATCGTTTTATGTATTTAGTATTTGTAGTAAAGTCAAACAATATAGTGTATTGCATCTTGATAAGTGATGTATTAATTGAATTTGTGGATCTATATACCGTCGAATATCCCATCATTGTCATGCTTGCAGCTGTATAATTGGTCAAAACCGGGCCATATGTTTAAAAAGGCCCGCTGACATTCACCAATCAGTGGTAATACTTTGACTTTCGGTTGGATATCACAAGTGAAAGATAGCGCTTTTATCGATTAAATCAGATGAGCATTGATATATCAAGTGCAATAATGCGAAACATCCGAGAAGTACTGACTTTACTAATCTGAGCTTTATTCAAGCATGTAGTAGTTTAAATTTTATTTTATTTTAGCGGATTTCGAACTAATAATAGATGGCCTGGGGAGTCCCGAAAGTCCTGTATTTACAAGGAACGGAAATCTCTACACGACTGCATATATGGCGGGGGAAATCCGAAAAATCGACTTGGAAAATAGGAAGGTTATTCTTGCATAAATTCCCAAAGTTTTAGTCGTTCCAGTGACATGCCTAATTGTCATATTATTTTACATTTGATAATTTACATAATGATAAAGCCGTGTTCATTTCACTACAACTGATAATTGTTGTATATTTGATTGATTTAAACCTATACCTCTCTCCAAAACGCAATATGTGAACATAAATTATTTTTCCATTTTCATACGACTGAAGGGATAATAAATGCTTAAATCTAAATTTGACGTAGACATAAACGTTTTTTAAGCGTAAAATCAAAGCATAACCATTAACTTAAAAAATAAAAAAAGACGCTGTCAGGTTCGAACTCGTACCGCCGCGCTGGCAGGCGAGCACTCTGTACTAACCAGGCATTGGTCATACGCGCGTGTGATTTAAGGGGATTTATTTAAACTTCTTTTTAGTTAGTCACGTGACATTCTGAATTTAGAAATCCTCGAAGAAGTTTGTTTACCGGCGAACCTCTGAGCAATTGAATGAACAATCGTCAAAATAACATCTTTATTGTGAGTATTTCTTCACAGTATTTGCTCCATTTGTTCATTATTGTATATTTCCTCATTAAAGCACAAAATATTTCCAGAGACCCTAGGAACAACCTAAGATTGCGTATCGGAGAGAGGCCCGACTTTAAGTGATTGTTCCATTGTGTTAGCACAACCAATAATAGTTGTCGATAGGTGTCACTAGTATCAGCCTTGTTTTGAAATATAGATTGAATACAGAATATGAAAGTTGTGTTCATTTATTACTTTGGGATATCTATCCTATAATAATAGCCTAATAATATTATAGAATTTGCCACGGGAAATGTACACCGGTATATTTTATATCCATTATTTTATTCTCTTATTTGCAGTCCAATGTCTTGACTACTTTATCGGTAAATGGATTAGTTGGGATGCCGGCAGGATCTCAATGTGACCTCGATAACAATATTTGGGTAGCTGATGTGAGGCTTGGCCTATTAAAGGTGAACCAAAATGGTTCTTTCCAGCAAGTGAGTACTGATATCTACTGTTGTTTATTATTTTTTATCAATAGTTTTATTTCAAAATCATTTTCCGATTTTATCATACAATGAGAACTCAACCTCATGTCAAAGGGCACTATTGTGAAATATTGGACCAAGAGACGAAGGCCCAAGGTCCAATATTTCACTCTTTTACCCGCTGAAATTCTAAACATGCAATAAAATGCTTTGTTACAATTAATGATGATTGTGTCGACCCTGTTGATAGAGGAAGCCTTTAAGAAACAACCAATAAATTTTAAAATCCATGTAGTTGAAGTAATATTATGTTGGTGATGCTAAGATATTCATTATACCGCAACGAAGGGCTTATTTCGCAAAACAGCTATTTCTTCATGTTGAATCTATAAATCATCAAAAATGGGAATACTGAATAGTAATACAAAAAAACCTTTAGAGTGCAATGAGTCGTAAGGAAAACAGACCCAGACCCCAGTATCCAAAACGATTACTATAACTATTACAGGTAGCAACCAAGGACAGCCAAGGTGATGTTGTACAAGGTTGTAATGATCTTACATGTACTTTTGACTATCAAGGCAACCTGTGGATAACTGCCCCATATGGACCCATCGCCCCTAACACATTCACCGAGTCATCCGAGGTACACCACAATTCTTGAATTCATGACACTACGACAATTCCGCTTCAAGTTAGTTAGTATACAATTTTTTGCATACTTTAAGAAATGAGGCAAGCATACTTGATTATGAACTATGTTTTTGAGAGAATTGATTTACCCTAATAATTCATAATTATTCCAATTCATCACATAGGGCACTTACAAACTGAGACAAGTTGAAATAGCAGAATACAATTGATTTCCTCCTTACATGTAGGTGTTAGGGAATGGACTATTACTCTGTCACCAATTGAGTCATAGAATAAATTAATAAATAGATAGATAAATAAATAAATGTAGATAAAATGGACAGGGGCATATCGCATTTGTTTGCGAATGAGAAGTATATTTCTGCCCGCTATTACCAATTAGACAAGGAGTGACTGACTTTGGCATTTTGTTTCAGTTTTACGATGTATATTGCTTTCACTTTTAGGAGGCATTTGGGAGTGTGTACTGCTACAACAAGACGACCGATGAACTCAAGAAGGTGACTTCTGGTTTTATATACCCGAATGGCATAGTAGTGAAACATGATGATCACGGGAATCCAGTGAAACTCATCTTTGCAGTGACATACAATAAGAACTCGCCTCTCTGGAGTTTCGATATCATCGGCCCTTGTCAGATTAGAAACAAACAAGTATGGGGAAGTCTTCCTGGTGAGGCAGACCTCTAGATTTTTACCCTCATTGTTATGGTAGCCATGACTAGTATAGATAACAATTGACTTATTTTCAAAATGAGTCGTTCTTAACAAATATGAACACCTTCACAGCTTTTACGCGGTAGTTTCATATTAAGAAAAGAAGAAGTTATCTAATCCAGACGACATGTAATGGTCAAGGAAATACACTATCCATTTTAAATGTAAAAGTTTGGTATAAGACAAATATTTGTCATGTATCCATCCATCTAATATGATTTCACAGGAAAGCAGGAAACACAATTAATTGGATAAACATTGATTTGCTTATATACAAGTATACATTGACAACTGTTAAGAATGTGTTTAAAGTTATTATTAAATCTCAACTCTTATATTTATAGCTAACAGTGTAGTAGATGGTTTGGAGTTGGACGAAGAAGGGAATCTTATCGTTTTGGAATATGAGTCGGGTACCATGTATGTCTTCGGTCCAAATGGCGGTTCACCAATGTGTCGAATAAACTTGCCCTTTCTTAACGCTACAAATATTGTCTTCACACCCAACTCTAATGAGCTCTATATGACTGAGCATGAATTTGATGGTTTGTGGAAGATTCATTGGAAACACAAAGGAATGAAGCAATATTGCGAGACATTTTAGATGTAAAAAAGAAAAGTTCCCCAACAGAAGGCCAAAGTGAAATGATATGTTTTATGTATAGAGCGGCCAGTAGAAAAATTGTATCAGAAAACTTAGTTGAAAAAACAATAAATACCGAAGTGAAATTAATAGCATGATCCAGTAAATATTAGTATACTATTCACAACTAGACAAACAGCAACTCCAAGGAGTAGCAAATCCCACCGAACAAAATATATTTTAATAATAAGTGACCATCTTGATATTTTTTTCTTGAACAGAGTTCCTTAGTCCATAGGCCTAGGTAGCAGCATATACAATTTGAACCAAAACTGTCAACTGGTATTTGAATTATCAAAGATCACATTTTTTATAACAAATGGCAGTCATTTTGATAAATAGCAACCATCTTGAAAATATCTTCTTGAGAAGACCTCCTTTATCTTAAAGTATCAGCATATGACATTTGAACCAAACATCCAGTGGTATTTGATTTATCAAAGATAACAGTTTTTTATGAAAAATGGTGGCCATTTTGAATTTCAGCTACCAATAATAATTCAGACGAACTATTTAAATATGACATAGGGCCTAGTCTAGAAATGCCCCTAAGGAATTCCAAAGTCCAAGTCCACGGAAACATGTGAAAATATTTTTGATGCCTCGCCTGTCTCGGTTGATTTTATTAAATTATAAATAAAATATTGTCAGGCTTATTAGCTTATTGATTTTTTATCCCACAAGTAATAAACTGTTATCGACTAGACATTTTTTTATTTATTAAAATCATATTAACATATTTACATAATAATGATAAAGACACCCCAGGGGGTGTATGACTTATCACAAGCTAGAACATTTCAAAATTGCATATCATTAAGTTGTAATTCTTTATAAATTGTTTTAAATTTAGGTGCATATACTTTTGAATTTACAATGTGTCATCAAAATTTAAATCAAGTAAGCCGGTAAACAGTATAATTAAAATGTTTAACAGGATATAGTTGAAAGATATAAAATTGATTCATGGATTCCGGTGCATCTGTTAAGAAGAAGTGCAGAGTATTTATCTATCACACGATGGAAAACATGTTTCTTGCCGCCTGTATTGCTATAACTTTTTAGGGTATGGTAAGTAACATTACTTAATCAGCATTGTACATATGTACGAATGTAATGCCAAGATAATTATAAGGAATTGTATTATCAGATTCATGGATTTATGTATTGTATTTTTATGTTTTTGCCATATGAGACGTTTTCTTATCCAAGGAAAGTATGTTTGAAATACATCGATAAATAAAAAAAGATTAATTGGAGTTATTAGAATGAAAAATACCATTCAATAACCCAAGTTCGTAGTGATATTTTTTTCAAATTGATCATATCATACATGACAATAATACATGACCTAATTGACTCCAATGCTGGTCTACAGCTATGGGATCGACATATACAATGTATACTCGTTGCCGATGACACCACTCTTATTTCAACAACCCTAAATGCATTACAAGCACTACTAGATATAGTTCTTTCTTACAGCACAAAATGGCGCATGATTTATCATGCAGGAAAATGCAGCAAAAGAAATATTGAAATTTTTAACGAGTCAAAAAGAAAATTTGGAAGAAATCAAGGCTTGCGTAAATGGCACATCGGAGCTGAGTCAGATCACGAAACAAGAAAGGTCACATATGTTGGTAACGATGTTACTCCAAATTTCGATTCAAAACCTCTGGCCACATCGGCCAAAATGAAACTCAATGCAAAAATGTGCTTATGGTACACTGATTGTTTCAAAAATTTGGAGTACGATCATAATTCATTCTTCATTCTGTTCACCATTTCGGCTTAATCTTTATTCAGGCTTCATTTAGCGATATTATGAGTATTTTCGCAGAGCACAACTACAGGGTGGTCAAAAAACGGAAACCCTGCATTTTCCTCATATCTTTGTCATTTTAGAAAATTACTCCCTAATATTTCACACATTTGTAAATCATTCAATTTCCTACTACCCTACCATATTTCATGACAATCAGACTGATAGTCACAATTTCACAGCACTTTGAACAACATGCTTCAGGTTTGGCCATCAATGCGCTGTAGGCAAACCTGCACAGTTCTCAATGATCCAAATGCATTCCTCAGCAGGTATGGCCTGAATGATAAAGATGATCTCACTTTTGAGGTCTGCAATTGTATTGTCCTGAGGTCATTCTTATACAGTTCATCTTTGCCACATCCCCATAGGTAAGGACATTTTGGACGACATATGCAGGTTGGTCTACAGCGCAAGAGTGGCCACCGGGAATGTTCTTTTAAGTGCTGTAACACTGTGACTATCAATCTGATGTTCATGAAATAAGGTAGGCAGGTAGAAAATTGAGTGATGTAAAAATGTGCAAAGTTACTTCTTAAAATGACAAAGATATTAGGAAAATGGTGTCCAAGCAAACTCAAACCTTGTTATATTTCAACATATTCATCAAAATATTAAACCGTGTTTCGCATGGCAAATAGGTCTTAAGTTTCCAAAATACACGTGGTCACTTGGTATTATAAGCTCATTAACCTGGCCACAGATCCAAGTTATAAAATGTTTCGTTGTAACAGTTGCCACAGGTTATGTGAACGTATCATTGTGCATTATTTGCAGTGTGGGTATTTTTCAATGCATAGGAACATCTTCTTTGAAAAACTCATCGACCATCTACCTATAATTGTGGGTATAAACCTGTTGAATCTCACCGATGAAAACTCACACACTTCTAGGCAGTTGGTCAGAGTTGTTCATGGATGATTTGATGTTTGAGCAATTCATAATGATGTGTAGCGTAAGCCTGTTTGATATTAACGGTTTCTTTAGGTTTGTTTCACAAGATTCCACGAGTCTTGGGGAGTATACTTGAATATACCTTCATCCTAAACAATGTAAATAGAACATCTGAAGAAAATGCATCTGTAAATATGTTGAATCTCTTTTTTATACTTTTAACCTTTTTAAATTATGTAATTTAATTTGATGTACATTTTATGCTCTCCCCAACACGGAGGAAACAAAGAAACATAAAAATAAATACATATTACAATTTTTATTTGAATTTATTAATCTACGAATCTTTACGGTATGCCCTTTAAAAACAAGATAAAGAGTATTTTTAAATAAAACAAATAACATAAGAATGTGGCATCAAAAGTTCGTTGTCTGATAATCTAGTTGGGGGGGGGGGGGGGGGCAGTGGTTTCAGTAACTTTGTGTACAAGAGGCAGATGAAAAATACAAGAGGCGGCATTCAAATTAACCAATTTTACGCTCCCGACTTTGCAAATTCTTGTTATTTTAGAGTCCATGGACTGAAAGAAAGATGTCCAGGCAAGGTTTGTCAAAGTCATTTCCACGTGTGATGTGGCAAGACATAGGCTCCACAAAATAACACCTGGAACTGTGGAATGACTAGGGCAACTTATATAGAATGTCATTTACCTTTTATAAAATAACTTACCCTTACACAGGTTGCATTATACAAATCCAAATGCACCTGTTGAATTGAACACTTTTGATATAAATCAAAATCTAGAATTGTCATTATTAAAATGAGTGATGTATTAATAGATGATTCACTTGTGATTATGTGTATATCAGATTCATTTTAGTTTTTTAACACCTCCAGAGGGTCCAGGGTGTTCCAAAAGTAACAGGACTGGTGCTCGTATTTTGTTAAATATACACCAATTGTCTTCAAAAGTTTACATAATGTACCTTCATGTTTTGTAACTAAAATTGCCGAATTACATGGTTTTTGTCGAAACTGATTTAGAAATCGGCCGATGACTACTCATCGGCCAGCGCCCGGTGCATATGTGGCCTAGGCATTAGAGAGAGACCGAGGTGGGAGATATCCCCCTCCCCTCTACACCAAACTTGTTCTCACTACGCTTTCGAAAATTGCCTGAAAGGCCTCCTCACACATTATTAAGGAAAACATATCTACACATTTTGCGCATTTAACCATTTGATAACATATTGTGGATCTTATCTTAATTTGTTAATGTGAATTCGCACCTTCATTTACATGGAAGACTTTGATAAAATCCTTTTTGATGATTTTTGTTATAATGCTGATGTTTGGCTAAGCTTCGAAATTCCAAATTGAACAGTCTACTAAGGATACCATGTTGTAAATATTGTTTTCTTTATAATATATTGAGCTGGGACTGCTCAAACAAATTCGCTTTTTGTAGCTACAAGTATTTAATTTCAATAGATGATAAACTTCTCAATATAAGAAATTACCCTCATAAGACATTGTTGCAAGGTGTGTTGCAATTTATGTGACACCCCGCATTCCCGGGCCCGCATTATGTATTCTCGAAGAAAGCCATTATGATAAACCATGACATCTCATTTCTTCTAAGCCCTGTGTTTCAGGTGAAACAGAAAGATGCTATGAGTATCAGAATGGACGAAAGCATATATTTGCATTGATGGTGTATAGATAGTTATTTTATATAGTGTTTTTAGTTGTACGTGGAAACCTATTCTAACCAGGAAGGATATTGAAACTTTTTTCAAGATCCTAAAGTTGCAATTTTCGTTATTGTGTTTCATTGTAAAGACGCACCCGTGAAAGTGTGTCGCTGGTATAAAGGCGTAGTTCTAAATAAATCTAAGATACACGTTTTTTTAACTTGTACCTGAACGTGTAGAATTATTGACCTGATGGATTTTTTCTCCCTTTTGTACTGTTAATACTTGGCCGGTTGAGTATATAAAGGTACACATGTCCCAGCTTTTGGTAAGTGGGGGACATACCCCCCCTCCCAATCCACACATACACCTTTTATCATGCTTTAGTAACTTCGCATTGTAATTACAAGTCCACCCGTGTAGCTCTGCGGTAGCGCATGTACCTCTTACGCAATAGGTCCCGGATTCGATCCCCGCTTCAGGCAAGACTAAATTTGCTTGTTTGCGTGAAGTACTCCAGGGTGTTTGACTGAGTGGCCCGCAACTCGTACAAAAAGGCTGTGGTGTGTACTTGTATGTCTATGTATAAGTGCACATAAAAGAACACAGGGCTCCTTCAAGGAGGCGTTTCTGGGTCTATCTTCTAGGTTAATTACGTAAATTACGACCGTATATATGCGGGATATACCCAAGAGGTATTGCTCACCTTCATTGGTGGTAAACAAAATACAATACAAGGGTGTTATAAACGAGACACCAGGATGATAAGGTAGGGGTACAATATAGGGCCCAAATCTTGAGAAAGAGTCGAAGGCATGCGAGGCGAATCCTGGAAACTCGGGTTCGGGAAAGCGGGGTTATTTGTTTGGTTCCGTTGACACCTGTGCGAACATTCATAATTTATCCGATTGTCGCTTTGATAATATTTCTTTATCTCGTCTGCGACTCGATAAAGAAGAATTATCAAAGCTCATCAAGAATGGACGATCTTGCACAGGTCCTCATATAAGAACCTCTATATCTTTATAAAACCAATATAAAGATTGAAAAACGGACACACTATGTTAAACATGTTATATCTGATGTGCCAATTCAATGATTTAGCATATCGAAAATATTTTCAACCTAAGTGACCACATCGTGACATCACTTAGGTGGCAACATTTTTCAATGTAAATCTTTTCTTAATATGCTAAACTTAAAAAATAAACCAATTTTGACTGTCTAACCAGGTTAAAAGGATGAATATATTATGTTTTTAATATTATTTTACCATTGGTTTCTGATGAGAATTAAAATATTGAAATGCATCTTTCCCTGAACCACTTTCATGCATGTATGAGTTCATTGCTCGCTCATCTATCAACCAATTTTCTTGATTTTGTCGGCAAAAAAAACAAGTGAGGATGATTGCTATGCATCGGTGTGAATTATCACTTCAAAGGATAAGTGTGACCTCTTAAAGGTAGTTTTGAATAAATCCACGATATTTTGAACAAAAAGTTTCACATTTCACACTTTGATAACATTGGATAAGACAACAATATAAGCCAAAGTGGTTTAAACTTTATATGGGGCCTTTAACTGATTAACACAATTTTACACCCACTGGAAAGACTATTTGACTTCTATCAAACGGCGGATTATCGAAAACAAACGGCGATTTTGGACACTCGCCCCCTGCAATTGAAAGTCCAGGGGGGGGGGGGGGTCAAAGCCATTTCAGTTTGCAATCCGACAAATTTCAACATTTCATTTTTGTTATTTTGACTCTGAATACCTTGGAATTGTTTAAAAATAAAGATTTTCCCGATTCTTTATTCATCAAAATGCACGCAACATGGAATATTATGTCTACTGTTGATGTCACATGTTTTAAGTATTCTAAATCAGTTATGGACATGCCAATGTATCCAACAGATCAAATTAATAATAATTCAGACGAACTATTTAAATATGACATAGGGCCTAGTCAAGTAATAATCCCATGGAATTTCAAAGTCAAAGTCCACAAAACACGTGAAAACACTTTTGATGCATTGCCTGATTTTTTTTTCATTTCTCATTTATTCCATATACAGGGTGGGCCAAAAAAACAATACCCAACTTTAAATCAGAATGAAAATAGCTATGTTCAGTATGATACATTGATTTATATATCATTTTAAAGGTAAACCATTTTCGAACAAATTGGTATATAACAATATGTCATGAAATCAATATTAAAGTTTTATTATGCTTATTTGGGAGGCCGGGTCGGTATTTAAGGTATCTAGATTTTAGGGAGAAAATAGTAAATCTGCGGAATAATGTTAATTTTTTATTTATACCAAATCATTCAGTTAGGTGAATACATGCTTGTATATTTGCACATTGTGTGACTAAACTTATTGTTTATGAATTTCAGTGTTGTTTATTATCAATAAGTACTCAATAAGGGGTCTGTTAAAAGACATTAAACGGATATGTGACAAGGATTTTATTTTCCAACAAGACATTGCCTCGTACTATAGATCAAAGGAGACATTGGCATTTCTTTGCAAACAAGGTGTCAATTTGATTGATCTCGATGCTTGGCCACCTAACAGCCCCGATGCTAATGTGTTTGATTTCCATACATGGAGCCATCTCGAGGAAATGGTACAATCAAAAGCATCCAATAAACAGCATTGATGAGCTGAAACAGAATCCTAAAGTGCTGAAATGAATTGTAACAAAAACCTCTCAATGAGGCTATTGATAGATTGCGCTACCACTTGAAGCTTATTGTTGATGCAGAGAGGAGGGGGTGGGGGTATATTGAGCAATTGTTAAAATTCTTTAAATAAACAAAGTGTAAAATGTTATTAAACAATACTGAAATTGATAAACAATAAATTTAGTCACACAATGATGCAAATATCAATATCCAAGCATGTATTCACCTAACAAAAGAATGATATTCTATAAATAAAAAATTAACATAATTCCGCAGATTTACTATTTTCTCCCTTAATTAAATATGGAGACCTTAAATAGCAACCCGGCCTCCCAAATAAGTATAATAAAACTTTACTATTGATTTCATGATATAATGTTATATACCAAATTGTTTGAAATTGTATAACCTTGATGATATGTAATGTACCATATTGAATGTAACTATTTTTATCCTGATTTGAAGTTGATTTATTGAATTATAAATAAAATATTGTACGGCTTATTGATTCTTTTATTTCACAAGTAATAAACTGTTATCGACAAGACATTTCATTTATCTATCACACGATGGAAAACACGTTTTTTGCCGCCTGCATTGCTATAACTTTTTTAGGGTATGGTAAGTAACAATACTTAATCAGCATTGTACATATGTACGCAAATAATGCCAAGATAATTATAAGGAATTGTATTATCAGATTCATGGATTTATGTTTTGTATTTTTATGTTTTTGTCATAGACGTTTTCTTATCCAAGGAAAGTATGTTTGAGATACATCGATTATTAATAGGATTGATTGGAGGGCTTAGGTTCGTCGTGATAAGTGAAGTTTATTCAAATTATTCATATCATACATGACACTAAGAAAATAATTTTTATTCTAGGATTTATATAAGAAAAAAGGAGATCATATTCTTTGTTAAAAATAAAAATAAATTCACGTGGCATCATCTGAGATTAATCCAACTTATTAGTACCTCTAATTATATCGATAACCAGTTCCTAAAACGTTTTTTTGTATTGCTCACCTTCATATGGGGTAAACAAAATTTAATAGAGGATTTAATAGAAGATTCCTCATATGTGGATGTATTTCTATAATGTAATGTAAGATTATTTTCTTGAAGAACTTACAATAGTTTACAATAAGAGTTCTGGGTATCCGTACGCCAAAAATACTAAAAACGTAATGTCAGGATCGCAAAAACAGGACTATTTTGTCATTGATATTTGGCTTTGTATTCTTTACTTTATTTTTACTTAAACCATGGACAGGGTTTCTCAAAGGTAACAAGAATAGTACTGGTACTGTGTTAGCTCTGCCCCAAATATGTTAAAACAACATTTCCCAAGATATATTTTATGTCATGAGACTAGAAGGGCAAAGCTTAAAAGATCTTCTTTTCAATTATTGAGAAAATGACACCCGCATATATAAACTTGATATTTATTCAGATTTCAAGATGTTTTAGACAATGTAAATGTAGATGGTAAGAAAAATATTGCAATTATGTTTGAAAGATTACCTCCAACATTTAGCCCCCTATATTATTTACTTTGACTAAAAAGTAAAATGCATCTGAATGTATTCAATGCCTTTGCCTGTTAGGAAATGTATATGTGCTCTCTGAGATTTGTTGGAGCGATGTCTGCGAGTATGAGATGGTGATCCAACATCAAAGAACGATGGTTTACACATACAAATCTGCTGAAGGCCATGATAGTTACGTGAGCAATTCAGTGACGCTTATGTCAGACGGAACACTTAAATTAATTCCAAATGGATACTACGACAACGTTGAAGATCTAGTAGTCAATGCTAGTGATGTGATAACAGCAGATGGTATCACCCGAAATATCATTACCATCAATAGCTTGTTTCCGGGTCCAACGATAGAAGTAGGAGAAGGGTCACAGGTTAGTTAATGATAAAAATTATTTCGAAATGCCCGCTCCTTTTAATACTTTTTATAGCGATTCTACAAACAATTATCGTTAGTAATGTTTTATATAGTAATCAGACATAGTTAGAATGAGCAATAATTTTTGTATTCTGTCGACATTCCAAATGAGGTCTAAAATATCTAATTTTCCAGATTGTTGTGCGTGTGACAAACAAATTGCTAGCCGAAGCTATATCCATACATTGGCATGGTATACATCAAAAATACACTCCCTGGATGGACGGCATGCCATATATCACGAACTGCCCAATACATCCACAGCAGACATTTACATACAGGTTCACAGCGGCACCTAGCGGGACCCACTGGTATCATTCACATATGAAAGTCCAACGAATGGATGGACTGTTTGGGATGATGATCGTCCATAAGAGGGAAACAAAAGGCGGTGCTGAAATCGAAGATTCTGTTCCATTGTTTGTGACTGATTGGTTGCATATTGAAGGGGCCACAAGTGATATGACAAGTCCATACAAGTTGGACTTTCCTCCGGGAACTGGCGAATTCTGGTTTAACGCTAAAAATAGAGATTATTCTTTAGACGGTATAGAGTTATCAGCATTGAAATACAAAAGTGGATTGATTAACGGAAGGGGACGTTTCAACAACAAAGCTCCCTTGTTCGAGACAACAATCAAGTCAGGTAGCACAAAACGATTTAGAACGGTAAATGCGGCAGCTGAATACCCGTACAGGATTTCAATCGATGGCCATGATTTGATCATATTGTCATTGGACGGAAACGAAATAGAACCATTTACCGTACAGTCTATTATCTTATTCCCAGGTGAGGAAGTTGACTTTAAGATAAACGGAGTTCAACCAAGTTCAAAATATTGGATCAGAGCAAAAACGTTGACGGATGGACTTGGTTCTGAGGATAATAACCAAGAAATAAATGCTAAACTAATATATGATGGAGTTCAATCAAATTTAGATCCAGTGTCTACTCAAAGAGAATGTTCGCAATCAAACCCCTGTAAAGTTCTGAACTGTCCTTTTCCAAATCATCCTAATTCGAACCACCTGCTCTGCATTCCAATCAGTGAGATGAAAGACATCAGATCATCGATGTTTTCCGTAAACGACGTTTATGAAGAAGAATTCTTAGATTTTGATTTTGACATTGGTTCCTCGGTGAACAAAATTAGATTCGTATTTCCTAGTGCCCCATGGACTGAGTCAAACAATGGCGCCGTACCATGCGCAAGTGATTGTAGCGATATTGACAGCGGCTGCAAATGCACCCATGAACTTAACTTCAAATTCAACCAGGTTGTTCGACTGACACTTTTAAGTAAAAGTGAACCGCAAACATATGGTCACCATCCCATACATCTTCACGGCTTTACGTTCGAAGTCCTAAAAATGGGATACCCTCTATTTGATGAAACTACTGGAAAAATCGTGAACAACCCGGACATAGTGTGTGATACACCATCGTGTAGCAGAGTACATTGGAGAGAAGGCAAGCCAATAGATTTAAACTTCAATCACCCACCAAGGAAGGACACCATACTGGTTCCAGCAGGCGGGTACGTCATTATACAATTTGTAGCTGACAATCCAGGCTACTGGTTGCTACATTGTCATTCCTTATCACACCTTATAGAGGGAATGGCTCTTGTACTGAACATCGCCGGGGAGCGTCAAGTAAAACCGCCTAAGGGGTTCCCGACATGTAATACATTTGATTGGTCTTCTGCGGAGTATAACAGGGCTGTAAATACAGATAAGGCCGCAAAAAAACGAATTGGTAAGTGTGTATATAATTCATTTGAAGTCTATTTACGTTAGTCCAATAAGGTAAAGACTAGTTTTGGAATCGTGTAGTTTTAATACACTGTACATGGAATATTTGGCGTTTTAGGCATATGACACTATTTTTAGCATCTTTAGTATGATATAAAAATTTTATTTATCAAAAACAAATATATATAGTACTATATATTAGCCTTAGACAATTCAGTGAGTTCTAATTGGGCAACGTTATAGTATCACATGATATCGACGTGATATAAAGAGGTGTTGTCTTTTAACTCTAGATTTTGATGTTTATTTTAGGGCCAAAATTAACATATGGACCCTGTACTTTGATGTGCAATAAGCTTGGCATAAAGAAATGTTCAAAAACATGCGGTGTGACAGAAGTATGTTTGTAATAATTTTAGAATAATTACAGATGAAAACATTGTTATTTATTAAATTGTTGTGAATGATTGACAGCTGTGATACAAAATGCAGCATTAAAATAATATGTATGTTAATGGAAATATAAAACTAATATAATTTATAACATTAATCCTTGACCCTCCCCATCCGACCCCACGTAAGCTTACTGACTGAAAACATGTCCCTTTTAATAATTGTATTGATTTGTGTCCTGCAGGGTGATGTCATTGGAGAAACCTGCTGGGTGAAATGTACAGAAACCGCTGCATTGGATCCAAATGCTCGGAAATTACTCGCTAGGTGTGTTCAACAGTGTAAAGGTGATATGTGATAGAGAGAAAAGAACATATCACAGTTATGTCTAATACAAAACTTGAGAGGAAAATCCTTTGCCATCCTTTGATAGTTTCAGTGTTCAACTAATTGTTTTATTTTAATATATAAAATAAACATGAATGTACCTAATTGAATATCATCATTCGTAATGAGATGAGCTTTGAATATTATGCTATTTGAAAATTCATGATCTACGATGTACATCCCTGAGCCAAAGACATGGTACATTGTAATGTCCACCAATCCAGTTAACCTAAGATGGGATCAATCGCACTTTGCGTGTAACCATGACATTCGGTTACCCAATATATAACAAACTTCTTTCTTGCCATTATCTTAAATACAGGTCCATATTTTCAATCGATTTGCCTGTCAATGAAAACATTTACACATTTGCAACGTTTCCTTGCATTACTACCTGATTGATAAAGTAAAGGATTATAAAGGGTTTTGTCACATGCGTTCATTTCCTTTGTTAAGCAATAAACACTTATTGACTTTTAATATTGATCTGCTGTTATTTAACCTACTAATCATTCGAAACATGCTACGATTCTACGATATAGTTAAATGATTTTTCATTTGCATTCTGAACAATTTAAAAATGAACACATTTTATCAACTTTCCTAGAGTATTCGTTACCATGACACTTGTAGACTCTGGTAAGTAACAGCCATTGATCCGCCTTATTATTGACACGGATAGACATTCGTAACATACCTGTCAAGTTATAAGAAAATCGGGATATTTTTTCTAAAAAATCTGGAGAAAAGGGGGATTTTTTAATTTAAATCGGGAGACAAATAAGGGTTTAAAAATTAATTCGATGAATCCGTTTTTTAAAATGTGTTTGGTCTTTATCTATTCATCATTGCATATCGATACACTCCCCTCCATAAGTTTGGTAACCTTAGCTCCCCATTGAACTACGTGTTAAAGCCTATTTACCTTTGAATTTTTATTTACTTTACCTGCGATGAAAATACTTATACTATTATTGATGGAAACGTAACTTGACGTTATTTCCAATACCTCCAAATTTTCTCAATTTTGATGAATTTTTGAAAATCGACAATCCTTTGCCATCCTTTGACACTTTCAGTGGCTAAACTAATTGTTTTATTTCAGATGTTAAATAAATATGAATATACAGGGTGTCCCGAAAGTAAAGGCCCTCCTAGGCAGACATATACCAATGTCTCCATATTACGTGTCATATATCATTTGAACTCTTTCCAAAGTTACATTGATTTGCCAAGTATCATGGTTCAACTTACAAATGATAAAACGTCACCGAGGCATTTCAAAACGTAGCGTTTGGCCAAAATATAGTTCATTTCAGTATCCTGGAAACAGGCTCGACCTGAATGTGATCAAAAATATGGGTGCTATTGTCGAAGATAGGATGGATATTGAGTTCTTAAAAGAGGATATTGAGGGTAGATACTCCAAGAAACTCTTCTAAAATGCCTTAAAAAGGATGAGGATTACAAATGCCACATCCTTATTTGAAGCGCGTTTAAGGCCATATATAGAAAACATTTCTGCTATTAACATGGCCCAGGGAGACACCCCGACTATTATTTTGGTACTGACTTTAATTTAGCCAAACACTAACTTTTGAAATGCCTCTTACTTTTTCCCATTTGTGAGTTGAACCTGCATCTGCATGATAGTTGGCAAATCAATGTAACTTTGGATGAACTTTAAAATGATATATGACACATACTATGGAGACATTGGTATATATCTGCCTAGGGGGGGGGGGGGGTACTTTCGGGACATCCCGTACTTAAGTTTAATCACTTCATTCGTAATGAGATAAGCTTGGGATATTATGCTATTTAGAGATGTAGGGCATATGAGCCATAAGCATGAAACCTACGTAAAATAAAACATTTACACACTTGCAATGTTGCCTTGTATCAATTTTGAAGCCCTGTGATCGGAGACTGACGTCTGCTCTAATGGCATTCTTATTTTGTTTTTATAGTAAACCCAGCTAACAAATTTACGTTGTGATATCGTCGTCAGAATATATATCTCAAGTTGTAGCAACGTTAATATGGAACGTTGTAGGTACAGGAAGGTGTGGACTCGCACAGATGTTTAAAGAACGTTACATTTGACTTAAATATCACGTGTCAGGAACGTAGTATAGCGACCTAAACAATTACGTCGCTAAAATAACGAGACTGTAACGTACTTACATTACGTCATATATACGAGGCCAATCTAAATTTCTGGTAACGTTGATATGGAACGTTGTAACCGTGTTTCATAAAATATATACGAGGGGTGATTCAAAAGGAATGAACATACATGTACGTTTGTAGGTATTCTAAACATTAGCCAGTCGATCTGATTTTTCACTGAAGTTAGATCGTTGAACAATCCACTAATTGGAAAATTATTTTAAAGGCATTTTATATCGTTTCAGCTATTCACTATCATTTTAACTAGATTTTACATGGGCGGGATCTATCATTTTTGTCATTTCCGTTTGATATTATGTTTATGACTTAAAACTATAACACACTTGTAAGGTCTACAGAATGCTTTTGCAAAAGTATTAAGCAAGGGTCACCTGTCATGTGTATGCCGGTGCGCTTTAAATTCAGGAACTAAATGTGCTGTAACATCACAATGGATTTTTAGAATAGTGAGTCATATTGAGTCAGGCTCAAAGACTCACACATATCCAAAAATGACTGCTCTACAAAAAACAAAGAGTTGTTACAAAATAGTTGGTAGCAACTGGAGGGACAAGACACACGGTGTATAACCCAAACGCTCCTACATGCACGACGGAGCGTTACATTTACGCGGAAACGCTCCGGAGCGAAATAAAATGGCGGCTAATGAAGATTCTACTATGACCGTAAGTATTGTTTCTCTCGTTTCTCTTACATATCATATGTCATGGTGATATATTATGTACCATTCGATGAACAATACCGTGAGCAAAGATCTTATTTATTCAACTTCTGGTGGTAAACTGTTATTTGCTTGATCAAAGCTCCGTAGTGTAGATCGAACGAATCTGAAGATGACGATTTGACCACAAATTACGAATTAAACTAGTATTTCTATGAAAACGTTAATCTTTCTGTTTAAGTAGTAGATCACAAACTCGTATATTCTCATTTCCTAAAATCCCAGTCCAAATCCATTACTTGTTCTCGAGAAATCGCTTGTTTTCCTCGAAACGCTCCGTCGATTTAGACCACAATTTTAGAAACGCTCTTACCATTTTGTTTTGATATCATTTTCAGATTATTAGAGAAGAGTTCCGAATCGAATCTATCTCTCAAAAACGTGTTGTATTTGTTAGGCAAATTGAAACATCTGAACTTGGTGGTGCTAAACGTGCAACTAGCTGATTAAAGCCTATACATTAGATGATGTCATGCCTACATATGTGCTAAATCATAAAACTATAGAAAAAAACGAAAAGTTATATGTGAATTAATCTTTCTTCTGTTGATGTCAAGGGGTATAATAGATCTTTCTTTCTCTTCCTGAAAAGGAAAGGCAAGCTTTATATTTCCTTAACTGATCTAGACTACCGGAGCGTTTCCAATTCACTGTGTTAACCAGATCGGAGCGTTTCTTGAATATGAGAATGTCATCATTTTTAAGACTGGATTTTCGGTCATCAAATCACTATTCACTCAAAACCACTTAAGTGTGAAATTAATTTTGTTAAAAAGTGAAAAAAATTCTAAAATGTTTTTTTTCAAATAGACATATAGTATATATCTGTATACAATTGTACATTCGTTACCCAAGGCATTGAAGTAAACTCCAAGGAAAAATAGGCGAATTTTCAAATTGAAATTAGGGTCCGTCTCAACATTCCATTTTCACATCTTGACCCCCTGATTAATATGTCAAGCTATTCAAATTAGAATGCAACATTTTCAAAAAACCAAGAAAGTTCTTCATGGTACTTAACTGTCCTTTAAAATCGCAAATGGATTTGGACTGCAAGCTTTTCCTTTTTGATGTGCATCACTTGTCAACATGAACCAATAAAATCTATCATTTTTCTCGATTTTTTTACTTACCTTTTGTTTTTCATTTGAATAAAATTGAAAGGGTCGACTTTATTGAAACATGACTAGATGCGATCATGAAAAATGATCCTAAAGACGATAAAAAATGATAACAGTTTTATTTGGGAAGAATTGATCATTACGCTATTTCACTATTCAGTCGCATGTCGATTTTCACAAGACAATTAGAAACAAATGGCAATGATTTAGAAAGTTCATTTTAGGGAACGCTTACTTCACGAATCGACATTTTTGATATGTAGGATATAACTAGCTGAATTGAGAAACATCCAGTTTGTATTTGTATCCAAATATGACCACGTTTATGTAAAATTTCCCGTCAAAACCCGACATACGTAAAACATGATTTGGAGAATCATGTCGTGTTTCACATTTTATTCTAAAATATCGTCAAAGAAAATAAACTTAGGACATGTACGTATTACGTCCGCAAAGTTTATATGCACTGAACACATCTTTTCTACATCCTTTTCACACCAACTTTACCAAAACATTGCACTGATTTACGAGACAAGGGTTTACATTTTTAGATTGAATGATAATTGGATGACAGATGCCATGTCGTTAAAATATTTTTTGACACCCTTGGTATATGTTTCCCTTTTAACTCATATACCAGGTATGGTACTTTGCCTCGTTTTTACAATTTGAGTAATTTTTCCTTTGGGTTTAGCTTTTAATGCATGCTTAGACCAGTTGCAGGTTGACGTAGTGACGTTTTTCCTGCATGCATCACAGCAACAGGACAACTATTAACGTAATATTGGAGTACAAGCAGCATCTATCTAGATCTGAAATGTCCCTTTAACATATTTCAAATCAAGAACCCGATCCTCATTCTACTCGAGTGTACGTTATCAATTGAAACATAATATGATATTGATGTCGAGTCGAGTCCAGTAAGGCTGACGTATACGTATAGTTCAATCATAAAAATCATCTGCAACGGTGTAGAGACGTTTCTCTTGACACCACTATCTGCGAAGCGCTTCACCTATAAACCCCCTCCCCCCTCTCCACTGAAGTTCCTATCACAAGACTTTTTTCCATTATCACCGGAAGTGTTTTTATTACTATGCTTTGCTTCATTCTGAGATTTTTGTTTTAGTCGCTATAATTTCCGCTTTAGAGAAACAAATTTCTTTCTTGTCAGACTCGATCCCTTTTCCGGATTTCTGATTTCACATCTCTTTCGCTATTAAATGTGTTTCTTCTGATGTTTTGTTTGAAGCTCTTGAAGTCTATATATTTTAGTGGTCTACCCACGGTTTTATTTTTCGAAGAGGGGAAATTGGATTGGCGATATTTTTCAATGAGGGACGTAATCTTATGCACCTCATCTCTTGAATCTTTGATTTATTTATTTCTCGGGCATTGATTTGCAACGAATTAC